TAATGCGTTAGGCATAAATTTATTGAAAACTATTCAAAATTAAGCTCAAACGTGTTTTTTTTGTCTATTATTATTGATATTTAAATAAAACAAAAGGTTAGAAATATAAAACTATAATTAGCTACATGAATAAAAAAAATTATCAAATTATCTTCGCATAATAAATCTAATATCTCAACTCTGGCGCATCCTTAGCGCGACATCGAAAATTAGTTCACTGGGCGCCGTGGTCAAGTATAGACGACACGCTGATGACGTCATAAGCGATTAGCGGGAAAATTAGTGCAGTGCAACATGAGCGATTCCTCAGAACTCATTCGGATTTTGGAAAGCGTCGACGATGATGAATTTTCGGAATCTGAATCATTACCTGAATTATTAAGTGAGGTAAGTGTCTTAAGTTCCTAATAAATTAAACTTATTTTACTAACATGCATATTGCCTATTTTATGTATCTATTATTTTATAATATTTTGTTTAATTTTAAATATAATAAGTTCGATACAAAATGAAACTGTTTTCCGGGCGACTCTTGTGAGCACATTTTTTATGTTTTTGTTTTCGAGTTTAGAATAACTCATCATGTTCGTTTACTTTTATACTGCAACTAGTAGATATTGTTTTCTGTCATAAAGCTAATGCTAATATTGTTTATTAAACCATATTTCACAATAATCCTTCCGAAAAGTAGGTACCGTGAGTAGACCATAAATCAACCTAATGAAAAAGCATTAAGGTCTAAAATAGTATATCGACTTTCTACCTTTCGGCATTACAATCGTTTCGAATAGTATTGTGAGTAGACTAAAAATCAATGTAATGGTAAAACATTAAGATCTAAAATAGCGTGTCGACTTAGTACTAAATTGCTCTTTTGTTCTCGGCGGCGACGTTCTTTTTTTTGTTACTAACACTTTCGCGTCTTACAGTAATCAAAGGCTTTCTCACACATACAATCTACAATATAATAATTACATACATTTTTGTCTTCATGACAAGTTTTCTCGTGAATTGTATTTTTTTTTAATCAAAATATATTGTATTTTTACAGAGACATGTATTATGACTGGGGTCTTCATTAATTGGACACTTTAGTTGAGAGAGTTGAGTACGATGACAACCATTTTAAATCACTTACACGGTTTGGATATCATGCACTTCATTATTATTTTCCAACGTTGGATCATGCAGAACTGAAATATCTTTATCCTACCTTTCTTGTGCACTGCGAGAAATTTGGAGTTGAATTTCGTACATCCACATATTATGAATCGTTTATCGCTCATAGTACGCAAAAACGATCAACGCCTCAACAATTTTAAAGAAAGAAAAACTTTGTACGTTAAATAGATACGCTATAACTTAACGTACAGAAAACACTTTTGACCATACTCTAATAAATGACTTTGGATATTATTTTTCGATGACTAATAAATTAGGATTTTGAACTATGTACTTCTTATAAGGAAATAATATTATTTTTAAAATATTTTTATTATACGTATTTATAAAGTAAAACATGTATGTTTAAAAAAAATTAAAATTATTCATTAATGGTATTAAGTTTTGACTAGTAGGTCTATTGGTAGCGTTTAATTTTGTGAATTAAGAATATAAATTACTATCCTCGATTACGAATCAAAATGCAGATGCGCTCTCACCCGTGAGGACTTAGATGGAATGCCTCGTTTCCAGTAAAGAGGGTCTCCGGTTCTCTACACTTACCATACGAAACACAGCAGCATTAAGCTACTATTTGACGCCGGTATTCCGTGAGAGCGTGGTTCTTCCCCGGTTGAGCCGACCCATTCGTGCTACAACTACCTTCCGTAATATAACCACAGCATGGCTCTACCACGTTAAAAATTTGCTTTGGCCAGCTAAACATTTATGTTTTATTATTCCATAATATTTTTATTATTTTAAGACTAATATTACCTGTAATTTATTAATTATTTTTAATTGTTGTTTTCTATATTAAGTACTGATTGAGTTAAAGACCAAGATTTTAATATTTTAAGACTAGACCTAGTGCAAATAATTATATACAATTGTTGATTAGTGAATAATTATGTACCATTTGTTGATTTCTGTAATAAGTCATTAGGACCAAGATTTTAATATTATAAGACTGATTTTTCTAGTGCGAATAATTATATACAATTGTTGATTGGTGGATAATTATGTACCATTTGTTGATTTTTATAATAATTACTGATTTTTTATTCCATGACCAAGATTTTATTATTGTAAGACTGATTTTTCCAGTGCGAATAATTATATACAATTGTTGATTGGTGGATAATTATGTACCATTTGTTGATTTTTATAATAATTACTGATTTTTTATTCCATGACCAAGATTTTAATATTATAAAGACTGATTTTCCTAGTGCGAATAATTACCTATATACAATTGTTGATTAGTGAATAATTATGTACCTTTTTTATTTTAATAATATAAAATTACAAATAATATATGTGGTTTTTTTTACTTAAGGTATGAAGAGCAATTTTTCATTTTGTGTTGTGCGATTTTCTTTCTCAATCTCAAAATCATTTAGCAACATCAGCATCATATTTGAACCCCCATTGTCATAAGAGCGTGACTTTTCTTCTGTGATTCACTTGGCCTACGCCTCGCCATAAAATATTTTGAATCGATGTCTGTATATTTAGGTTAGATCGATTTTGAAATCGATACACAACGTGCGACACGGCTACATCTCTAAGAAAGTTTCAAAAAGAAAGGTCAGCTACGCCGTTGTCGTCCAGTCGTGACAGTGACGTCATCACGATGGAAAGTAGTGTTGTGGTTTACTACTATTTTATTGTTATTGTTTGTTTTTTATTTATGTACAAAGTACATATATAAAAAGAGTGGAAGACAGCACAAGATTAAATAAAACATACCCGATTATAAAGAGTCATTTATTGTATAAAAAACCAACAAAAACCAGTTATTTTATGTTATCGATATATCAACTCTTGGCAGCACTGTTTTTTTCGTAGGTATTTTTGTTTACTTTTCGCTTTGGCGTACAGGACACGGTAGTGAGTTTTTGGCGTGGCGCTCAAAAGGTTAATAAAAATAACCGGAATTAATCAACCTTTTTATGTTATGAGAATGTTTTGAGTTTTGTTCAAGGGTGCGCACGTAAAGCCGTTGGTCCTGCGCCTGATCTCTCTCCCGGTCGTGTCGGTTTACCGTCCCATCGGATTACGAAAGTGAGGGAATAGAGAGTGCACCTGTGTTTGCGCATACACTTGGTCACTATAATCCTGTCCTGCGCCGATGGCTAGCCTCCGTTGAGGCAGGCCGCCGTGACCGAAATTCGGTCTGGAGGACATTATTATTATTATGAGAATGAAAATCACTATTTGTCAGTTAACGACTTACAAAAATATAAATATGCGTTTTATACAAGATGGAACTGAAATATTTTGTAGCATATAGTTGGCAGTGGTATAATCACGTGAATTAAAATTTATTTGATTATTTTCTTAGTTTGGATTGTAACCAATCAAGATTTGATCCGTTAGAGTCTTGACCATGAGTAAGCGGAAAAAAATGATTTTGAGAAAAGACACATTTTAAACAAAAGAAGTCAATAAGTGATTTCTCACTCACGTTTTGGTAACTTATTGACCATGAAAAAGCGGAAAAACAGAAATATTCGTTAAGGTTTTCCAGAATCGAAGCTTGTTCTGAAAATATACAAATATTTTAAAGTTTAAGAAAAGGTTGATGTTTCCTTACTTTAAAAAATGTCATAATAGTATTTGTTTTCTGGTATATTTCTACTACATCATGCCGAAGCCGCCGATGGGCGCCTTAGAATGCTTTAGCGAGAAGACATAGACGCCGTTGGGCGGCCGCCTTCAAATATATGACGGCATGGGGGTAATATGTTTCTATTTTCACAGGAGGCAATAAATGGGTTAGCGTGACGTGCGCAACCGCAAAACTCAATGCTGGACATAGCCTTTTTCTAGATTGTACTATTAGGCTTGCATTTTTTTGTGAATTACCTAGACTTCCCAATCTAGGCAAGCGTGTTAGTGTGCGTAGTACTGACGCCCACACTTAATGATGCTGGTCTCCGTCATCAGTCTGGGAATTAGTTTCTTGGGGCCATTTAGGTAAGTATGCTGTCATAAGTAAATTTTTTTTGATAAAATAGAGACAAATGAGCAAGCAGTCCTGATAACACACCTTAATCTTAGTTTAAGAATGACAAATACAGATGCGTGGCATCCCCTTGACGATTATGATATAATGTCTCATACTCATATCACTAAAATACTTCTAAAAAGGTTGTGGTTCTAATCACTCATCCAATATACGAAACAGCATAATTATGCTTACTGGTTTATGCCAGAATTCTCTGCAAATCTGGTCATTTCCTGGTCAAGCCTACCCATTCATACCACACATAAATGATGTCAGCAGACAGTAGTGTGAGGTTGACACATAGAATACTGTAATACATAATAGAATGGCTGTCAACTTTATTTTGTACGAGGCTTGGCGTCGCCAAACCCGATTCGCTGTGTTGACAGACTGAGTAAATTTACACATTTTAGACTTTTGATTAATGTTCAAGATCATTATTAAAAAAAATCGTTTAAATTTTAATACATATTTATTTGTAAATAGGGTGCAATTTGGCATTTTTTAAATAATTTGCATGCGAAATTTGGAAACCGTTGTAACATCAAAACACATCTCGTGTTGACATTTATACGTGTGAATTGACTAGTGGCTACGCGGTCTCCGCTCACTCCCCCGTTCTATTTATTATATATGTATTATAGTATTCTATGGGTTGACATTTAATAAAAACTATATTCCCTGTAAAGCTCTTGTTTGATGGTGATCATTTAAAAATAAACCGGTAGCTTTTTCAGTATTTGTATATTTAACTTATATATAACAAAATTGTAATATAATAACCATACAACATTGGATTCAATTTATTATGAATTTATATGGACTCTCAGCTGACAGCTCGTTTATTGTTACCTTTTTGTCTATATATCTTAGTTTTTTCCGTCTTTTTATGTCCTGTTGCATTTAATGATTTAAAATATCCAAAACCACCGCCTCCTCTCTTCTTTTGCATAGGTCCTTTAGGAGTGACCTTTAACTCAATCGCAGGTGGAACCGTAAATCCGAAAGCTTTGGCGACTTTGGCCAAATCAATGGTGTCTATGTCGAATATTGTCTTCAGATGATGCGAATCGTATGCTCTGACATAACTTTTAAAAGCTTCTTTTGCAGATTGATTAAGGAAGTAATTTCTTGATATTAATTTCTCCAGCTGAAAAAATAATAAAGGTTAGCAAATAAAAATATAGCATATATAAATACAGGGAAACAGGCAGGAGAAGGGCAGCAGCATCTTCCTGATAACAGCAACTGTACAACAAAAAACTGCGGTTGCCAACCCGCTTGCCAAACGTGACAACTATGGCAATATACCCCCCATGAGCAACAACATAAATAAACGGCCTCCAGTCCCCGGCCGCCTCGCTATTCCTGGATACGGTGGCCACCATGGTAACGGCAGGGCAAGGGGTGCTAAGAATCTCCGGTGGAGGTTCAGTTGCCACTTAAGACGACTCGACCAGACAACATACAACGCACGCACCCTGAGGACTGACGAGAAAATCCTGGAGCTGGAACAAGCGATAGACAAGTTGCGCAGGAATATATTATAGGATTATCCAAGGTCCAAAGAAGGGGGAAGACACGTTGACTCTCGAATCCGGCAACTTGTTCTATCACCGGGAGGGCGACCATCTGTCCTAAGGAGGTGTTGGATTTATCGTCCACAAGTCTCTCGTTAAGTAAAGTTTGGGAGTGTGTCGACGAGAGTTGCGTACCTTATACTCAGAATCACCAAACGGTATTCGCTGAAGGTCATACAGGTTTACGCACCAACCTCGGCACATCCCGATGAGGATGTGGAGGAAATGCATGAGGATATTTCTAGAGCCATGCATTTTTCTAAAACTCACTATACGGTGTTAATAAGAGACTTCAACGCAAAACTAGGCACAAGAAAGAATGGTGAGCTAAAGGTAGGGAAATTTGGGATAGGGCAACTGAGCCCAAGGGGCCAGCCAGCAACTGGTCAACTTCATTAAGAAAGAATGACTTTTTACGATGAACTCTCTTCCAGAAGCGGCCCTACAGAAAGTGGACCTAGTCGAGCCCTGGCGGTTCGCCAAAAAATGAGATTGACTTCATTCTGACGACTAGATGGCAACTGTTCAGTGATGTCTCAGTGATTGCAATGGTGAAAACCGGCAGCGATCACCGAATGGTTAGAGGCACACTGAACCTAAACATTGAGTTGTATCGTCTAATGAAGTCAACGCTACGTCTCCCTCGTGCTCTGATTCAAAGTCCCGAAAACTTTCAGCTTGAGATACAAAACCGTTTTCAGTGCCTAGAAAACTGCAATGCAGTGCAATATGAAAGAAAAACTCGTGGAAACTGTCCATGCGGTCGGAGCTAAGTTCTGCAAGACCCGCCGCAAAAGAACACAGAAACTCCCTATCACACTCTTAATTTCATGGCTGTTAGACGGGAAATGAAGCTGCAGTCTTCAACAGATTTGACAGTATACAGGCAACTGAACAGACAGATCTCCAAATGAATGCGGCTTACTTACGCAACTTTAGTACTGCTCGATTTGAAGAAGCGATTGAACAGAACCAGGGCACCATAGTCTTTGCCAGAGATCTGGTCTGCCAGAAAGAGCCAATTGTCAAAGCTGAATTACCGAGTGTGGTGGCATCGTTTCCGGGACACCTGAGTTTTTGAGTGAGATTGAGAGGTTCTATGGGCAGCTGTACCGTTGGAGCCACACGCAAGTGTGAGTAACGATCCAAGAGCAAGTCTTATCCGACATAGATGATACGGACGTTGGGTATTACAATGGCTCTCCAGCATCTTAAAAATGGCACTCAGCACCTTATGGCAAGCCCCCCCCGGCCGAGGATGGAATTACAGCGGAGCTTCTGAAAGCGGATGGAAAATCGGTACTTAATATCTTTCAGAAGCTCTTCAATTCTGACCGCCATGGTGACATTACTCCAGAGGCGTGGAGCAGAATTGCGGTGATCTTGTGGTCCAAACACCAATTACAACTTAAAATGCACAAATAATAAAGCCCAATTGTACTACTGATCACTTTAGTTCGCAGTTATATCGCTTCGAAGTATTCGCTTGTATCACCAATTCAATACTGACTCGGGTCGCGGTCCTGACCGGCCTTATATAAGGCGTTTTCTACTGAAACATCTAGAATGTTCGAGTACATACCGGTCCTGGCTGACTAGGTGTAGTAAGTTCTAGCATTGAAATTTCTAGAAGGATCTGGACTCTCCTAATTTTGCTACTTGATACTAGAGGGCGCTAGTGGTAACTAATGTCTCCACGTACCAGGTTTTGATTATGGCACCCAACAGTATGAATTTTTAAATCAAATTAGGGTGACAAACGTGCAGACAGTTCACATACTGATAAGTGGATGCTGTGGTAGTTTTCCATAAATTATTGATATTCGATAAAAATGGTTGAAAATATTAAATAGAGATGAATGAATTTGGAAAAGAAAATATTCAACTGTATGTAGCAGCGGAGCTTCTGAAAGTAGATGGAAAACAGGTACTTAAAGTCCTTCAGAAGCTCTTCAATTCTGTCCTTCATGGTGCACTACTCCGGAGGCGTGGAGCAGAAGTACGGTAGTCTTGTTCTTCAAGAAAGCCGACAATGCTCTCTTGAAGAACTACAGACCGATTTCCCTTCTGAGCCGCATCTACAACTCGGTCACATTATCTCTGCACCTCGCTCGATGACGTCATATTCACGGTATGGTGTGCTAAATAAGCATCTCTAGAAATATGATATATGACAGCCGAACGGATTAATCAGCTGAAGTGGCAATGGGCCGGCCATATAGCTCGAAGAACCGACAATCGATGGGGAAAAAAGATTCTCCAGTAGCAGCATCGTATCGGTAAGCGTAATGTAGGGCGACCACCCACTGGAGAGAGTAACGACCTGGTAAAACATGCAGGAAGTCGATTGATGCAGGTGGCTAAGGACCATGCTCTAAGACATTCCTTGGGAGAGGCCTATGTTCAGCAGTGAACTTGTGAAGGGCTTTGATTATGATGATGATGACTGGCCGGATAGTAGTAGAGTAAGAATATCCTCTGTCGTCCCGTGGCTGCCGTAAGAAGCGACATAAGGAAACAAATAAAATTGTTCATTTATGCAACATTTAACTTACCTGTAGTTGTATATCAGCTACCTTGTTCCAAGAAAATTCGAATTCGTTTAGCGTAACTTTAGATTGTTTCAAGTATCTAAGAAAACCAAGTTCTTCAGGACGCAGAAACATTAACGCGTGTCCACTTGTACCGAGACCTCTAGCGGTTCTGCCAACTCGATGAATATATTCCTGAAATATAAGTGCTCAAATTTACCTACCTTACAATCATAACTGACTGCACATCATATTATATTAAAAATAAGTGTATAAAATCAGTAAGTGATAAGTGTAAGAAGTGGCAAGCTTATTGCAGACAACTTTTTGACTTGTTGTCTAGTACTTGTTAACTTGTTGACTAGTATTTTTGTATATGTTGGCATATACAAAAATACTAGTCAACATAAAGTCTTTTTAATAACGGATGTAGTCAAAACAAGTCTATTAATTACTTCTTTGTTAAACAATAAACTTTGTGTTGGCATTCTAATACAGAATTTCATACAGTACACACAGACTTTCTTTTACCCTATCATCATATTCCAACAGCATGACTCACATCAACTAGATACATAATTACATAATTTTTCAATATTACGTATCCATTTATGTAATTAATATGTAATATAGAAATTCAATATCAACTATTACCTTAGGATCATCAGGGGGATCATACTGAACAATCCAATCAACAGCAGGTATATCAAGACCTCTGGCCGCTACATCCGTACACAGCAGTATACCACTTTCGGCATTGCAGAATTGGAAGAATGTAGTTGTGCGTTTAGTTTGTTGTTGTTTACCCTGTAAAAATTAAAAAAGAATCAGATTGCGACTGAATAACCCACGGTCGAAGAACTAGTCCAGCTGTGAAAATAGGTTTTCGGTTAATGATTTCTTTTACGAAGCTTATCGCGTTTAATTTAATTTTTTTTAATTCCTTAAATTTTGGGCACTTTACAGCACCAAACGCCATGGGGGGGGGGGGACTTAGGTTGTGCTTCGCCCAGAAGAAGTGGAATTGTTCACAGCAACTCCTTCCATTCATTGAAGTCATAGGGCTTAGCAGTGAACTATAGTCATAGCAGTGATCAAAATAGATCTCATAGGTCGCAGTGATACTGGTCTTTCTAGACTTGCTTAGCTGCTCGCACAAATTAAAAAAATGTAGACTAGTAGTACATAATAGCGTAAAGTTATTATTGCGGCATCTAGCGTTAAACAGCAGAATGAGTTCATCAATCTTTGAATCTTTGTGGATAAAAAACATAATAATATCTCTCTATTGGTATGAAATTATGGTGCAGTTTCAAACAGATCGCGATTTTACTGCGCCATCACAAGTTAAAGTAGCTGAATAGCCAGTCCAAAACTCAAGCTGATGTGTGATGGACTGATGACTAATAACAATAAGCCTTTTTTATAATTTCTAAATATAAATACCTTTAAACGAGATTCTTGTATATGTATATACATATATATATATATATATATATATATATATATATATATATATATATATATATATATATATAATCGGAATCTCGGAAACGGCTCCAACGATTTTCATAAAATTTTGTGTCCAGGGAGCTTTGGGGGCAATAAATCGATCTAGCTAGGATTTATTTTTAGAAAATGTTCTTTTGTCCGTGTTTTCAGGCAATAAAAAACTGCTACTATATAAGAAGGTAAATTTTGACAGATCGCAAACAATTGTAATAGCTCAGGTGGGATGTCGGTCGGGCGCGATATCGGAGTTCCGTGGTTGGGTCCTGTCTCTGGTCCGGCTTTTTTTCCTTTTTTTATCAAGTTCCCTTTTTTTTGTGAGAAAATCTATTATTTTAAGCCCTTTTTTTAGTATTTTTTAAAAATACGAAAATTTTAATAAAACTAATTGCACTCATAATTTTTTATTCAAATAACCAGTTCAGTTTTTTCTATTCTGTCAATAAGATCAAAAAATATTATTTATGTTTCATCAGTATGTACCTAATTTATAAATGTAATTTAAAAAAAAACCGAGCAAAGCTCGGTCATCCGGGTACTAGTTTTAAAATATTTAATGATACCTTTTCGCAAAACTCTATGCAATTTAAAAGTATTTGAACAACCCTTTACATTCTGTTTAAGGAATGATTCGGCGATAGTAGGAGAAGAAATTAATGATTTTGTTGTCAAAAAAGAAACATCTGTAAAATGTTTCTCAAAAACTATAGCAACTTCTTGTTAGCAATTATACTCCACGTCATTTTAATTTTATTGGATGCAGTTTTAATTTTTTTAATTTTGTTGCTTAAATGCTGTGAAGCACACATTTTTAAATATTTAGAACATGTTTTTACATAATCTCTAAATATAACACTATGATACACTATGATTATAATTAGTATCTTTCATTATAAAGCTCGTATAACTTTCGCTTACTTTTATAAATTCCTACTGTCGCCCATTCAATAAATGATTGCTCTATATGTAAATTGCAAACTATCATTATTATTATAAATGTGAATATATATTAAATTACTTACGTGTATTGACATAACTGGAAGATCGATATAATTAAACAATTCATGGTGATATTTTACAGACATACAAGTTGAGAGGAAAACCATGACTTTTTTCTTCCTGTTCTTCTTTAGGAATGTAAATAAGACCATCATACGTTTTTCTGATGGCACAACAATATAACTGAAAATTGTAATTAAATGTCATAAATTAATATAATTATGATCCGCATTTTAATTTCATTTCACATCTTTGATGAAAAACTTATTAATACATTATTAAATGTTTGATATTTTACTATTCGTTTGCTTTTTTTATTTTAATATTAATATCTAAACCACCTGTTGCCAATACAAGGTGTAACTATGGTAATATCCCCCCTAAACCAGGTTTTATAATAAGCTTGCGATATATACACAGTTTTATATATAGAATATGTATGTTTATGGTTCGGTATCTAATATATACAGTAGTTTAGTTGGGGGTTTGACACGTCTAAGCGCGTATTTTGCGTGTGGGCAGGAATACTATGGTTATTTGAGCCATGATATCTCCCCCAAGAAGCTCAGCAGTATAACATGTACAGTATTATTATACCACCATGTTAAATCATATTATGTCATAAGATTTTTCATGACTTCTTATAGCCTATAGACGAAATGCTGATGGATTCTTTGAAACTATCACCACACGACGACATGACGCTTAAAATAGTTTTGTTTAAAAATATTAACATTTTAAAAATAAACTTTTATAATGCAACATACCCTTGCTCTAAACTATCAACTGTGGCTTGTTCTCTGTGATCGTCAACACCTACATACACAGGCTCATGTTTCACCGCTAAGGCTGTCAATGCTTCAGTCTTCTTTGTCTGTGTTGCGCTGAACAGCATTGTTTGACGTCGTTCTGAGAAAAAGCACAGCAATTACTTTAAAATGATAGACATGCAATTATACATAACAGAAGTCTATTTAAGTTAACATGAATACCTGAAGAAAATATTGATAAATAGTTGAGCTTTTTACTCTTTGATATAGTTGCTTGATGATCAATGACATTAGAATTTTTCAATGATTTAAAAAGTATATGAAATGGAAAATAGTAGCAAGTTTGAATTGATATGCTGGCTACATAAATAAATATCTGACCATGTTGGAGTGAAATAAGTAATCACTAAAAAATCTTACTTGGCAGTAGTCTAATAATCTGTTTGACTTCCTCTTCAAACCCAATTTCCAGTATTCTGTCTGCTTCATCAATGATAAGACACTGCAAGTTTTTGTACAAGAAATCTGGTGTATTTTGTAAATGATCCAATAACCTGCCAGGTGTAGCCACAAGTATGTTAATGCCTGTAAAACACTCATAATTTTAACAACCTATCACAATTGTTAAAATGCATTATATTAGATCAGGGAAAACGTTTCTTCGTATTTTATATAAAAAGAGAAGACATTTCTTTTCAAAGTTTAAAGTAAAGCAAAGTTACAGCCTATATACGTCCCACTGCTGGGCACAGGCTTCCCCTCATAACTGAGAGGGTTTTAGGGCAAGGAAGTGTCCGCCGCGCTGCCCCAATGCGTGTTGACGAACTTTACATGTCTTCGAAATATTTTTTTTTCTTATTCCTCAGACATGCAGGTTTCCTCACGATTTTTTCCTTCACCGCCGAGCACGTGGTATATTAGCACTTAAAATTGCAATTAACAATTTCATTGGTGCCGGCGAGGATCGAACCCGGGTTGCTCGCATTCTGTTATATTTACAGCAAGCGCTAACCATCTGAGCTACCATGGCTCTTTCAAAGTTTAATTACATCTAATTATAATATATGTGTGCTAATTTGTTAGATAACTTGTTGCCATCTTGTAGGTAGTGACGATCCCGTTGCTGTAGAAATATTGGGATTTTTGATCAAAAAAATGCGACAAGTAGTTTTGACAGTCCTCTCTTGATGTTAACCTAACACTACCCAAAGATCGAAACAGGTGAAAATCTCAGGGTGCAAGGTCAGGACTATATGGTGGATGCATTAACACTTCCCAACTAAGCTTTCTTAATATTTGCTGAGTGGCCAAAGACGTGTGTGGTCTGGCGTTACCATGATGTCGGCCGTTTTTACACAATTTCTTTTTGAGTCTCGTTAGTTGTTGACAGTAGAGATCCGAATCGATGATTTTGGCCAGCGGTAAAAGCTTATAATAGACTATGCCCTTCCAATCATCATTATTTCGTGTTAATCCGGGTTTTGTTCAGCGTACGACGTCTCTGTGGAATAGTTTACTACCGGCGATTTTTCCGGACCGATACAACCTAGACACCTTCAAGAAAAGAGCTTACTCCTTTCTAAAGGGCCGGCAACGCACTTGTAATTCCCCTGGTGTTGCGGATTGCGGTTGATCATGGGCGGCGGTAGTCACTTAATATCAGGTGAGCCGTATGCTCGCTTGCCCCCTCTTCTATAAAAAAGTCTATGGAGCTTGACTTCCTTTTGAACACGATCTTTTTCGCACGTTCTTGTTGTAGGTGATCCACTTTTCTTCACCAGTGTTCAATCTTTTCAAAAATGGTTTAGTTTAATTATATTTCAATAGATAATTGCAAACGAGTACACGATTAATTGGGTTTCTTTCAGTGATCTCATGTCATACCCAATATCGAACTTTTTTGTAGGGCCAGACTTTTTTAAATGGGTCAAAACTGTTTTGTGGTTAATCCAATGTTCTTGCTTAAGGAACATCCCTCAAGAACATAGTTCAGTTCCCTTGAGGGACCTTCCATGAGGAGAGATATCTTGTTATGATAAAGATAATTTGCGGAGTTTATGTTGCAATGCAGTAGTTTACCCACTCTTTATAGATACGAAATATTAGCATGTTCTCATCCTACATTCGTTCATAACCCTTTTGGTTACTATAAAGGTTGGTTACTATAAAGGTTAATGAAGTTCTCTTAGCCAATTTCAACACCAGAGTACCTGTTTAGTGATCACTTACGATTCCCGTATCTTTTTTTAATAATAATATTAATTATAGAAAATACGAAAGGTCTTGTGTGTGTTTGCTTGGAAGTTTTTGACAACATAAACCTTTGTGCACAGGCTAAGGAATCGCACTAAGGAATAGAAACATGAAGACATCTAACAACATCTGACAAATACTGATGTATGTATTTGAGTCCATTTGGAAAAATGATAGATAATCTTATATTTTTTATAAAATTACAGGATATTTAATGGCAAAAATAATCTTGATTGTACATTAAACGTCAAAACGCCCTAATACACATTTTAAAGGGACTTACTTACCTTTAGATAGTTTCTGAGCTTCTGTACTTCTATTTGCCCCTCCCATAACCAAGCCGTAAGTGTGATGGTGATACTTCATTAACTCCATTAACACACCAAATGTCTGCATAGAGAGCTCTCTGGTTGGTGACAAAATAATCACACCAGTACCTTGTAAGATTGACAATGAATAAATTAATAACAATTCTTTAAGAAAAACAATTTTTATTACATTATAATTATAATCAGATATCCATTCTGTGTTCATTAAACAACTCTTAACATATTCCCTTCAGTGATTGTATCAAACCAATTACGATTGTACCTCAACAGTTTGATCTGGAGATTCAACTCGTCATTGATCATCAACATCCCCTGATGGATACATGAAGTCAAATCTTCACATTCGCCTTTTTTGTCATCATTTGTTATTAAAAATATTAAAGGCAAACCATGTTATTATTAATTTTAAATTCAAATAAAAGAATTTACTTATCTAATAAAACATTTTCAAATATGTTCTTACCATTTCTAGGCTTAAATTGCAGTTTATATATTAGTTCAATTGCTGGTATAAGGAATGCTAAAGTCTTTCCTGATCCAGTTCTCGCTGCACCTACAAGGTCGCGTCCTTCCAACAGTGGAGGTATAGCCTTAGCTTGAATCTCCGTCATCGTTGTGAAGCCCATATCTTTTATGCCCATTAAAGTCGCTTCACATACTTTTCCTTCAAGAGATGAGAATTTTTGATCAGATAAAATGCCTAGGCATAGACTTGATCCAGGCACTAAAAATGTGGAAAAAAAGATTTAAAATATGCATCACAATAAATAGACAGATAAATGAAAAAGAAATTTGATTTATTTCAAGGTTACTTCTGTATGGTAAATAATGCCATCAGTGAAGTACTATGTGAAGAAATCTTGAAAATATGCCTAATATTTAACGATTGTATTAATAAAACCCTTATAATATAAGATGGTAGAGTTAAGTAGCTTTCTAAAATAAACAATAGATAAAGAGTGTCTTGTTGCTGTAACTTGTTTTAGGAATTCACACAAATATGAACTTAAATCAATGGAAACTTAATAATATTCTGAAAATAACATGTATTCAATACCAAAATTGCCACTTTATAGAATATACTGAGATTTCGAAAAAATATGATTTATCTAAAAAGTTGATCAAATTATTAATCAAAATGATTATAACTTGAAGTTTTTAAGTTTTTTTGCAACATTCCAGAGTAATAAAAGGAAATATACGCAGCGAAGTACCCCGTTGTAACATTGACTCACATAAAAAAGACCGAGAAGTCGCACCTATTCTTCTTAACAGAGACTTCAGCTGATGTGGCATACTTCAACTACCCAGGTTACACGGATGAACATAAGTTCAAATAGCGCACTGGGGTCTGTGTGTACGTCCGCGATGACATGTGCTGTCGGCGTCTCCGTTGCTTTGAGGTTTCAGTTTTCTGTAATTTGACTTCTGGTGGACACTGGTGTAAGACAACCCTCTATGCCTGTGTCTATCGATCACACAGCGGACAACATGAGACAACGAAGCTAACTGAACACCTGACAGGGATGGCAGATAAAGCCCAACATGGATAACAGTCCGCGGAGTTAGTTTTTCTAGGGGATTTTAATGCCCACCATAAAGAGTGGTTGTTCCCATTCGAGAAAACCGACCATGCTGGGAGACGCGCGCAAACTTGCGTTATCACTAGATTTCCCTCAGCTGGTTTAAGTAAAGACACGGGTACTAGATGTAGCCGGGCATACACCCAATTGCTTGGACCTTCTGCTGACAATAGACCCGGACAGGCACTCGGTATCTGTCTCAGATCCGTTGGTATCATCAGATCACTGTCTGATGAAATCCGTTACGATTATCTCTCCTCCAGATGAATGTACAGTGTGCACAAGGAGAGTATGAGGATACTTTTTTGCATCATATCCGTGGCACAAGTGTGCTTCTCTTAGGATGAACCCTTCTGTTCTGCCGATGCGGTTGTGGATGTGATACGACAGGGAATAAAATATTTATTCCGTTCTTCGACATCCCGCTCGATCACAAGCCCCGGCCCTGGTATAATGCTGACTGTGCCCGTGCTGAGGCCGCAGAGTCCGCCTACCAGGCCTGGATTCCTACCTACCGGCTCGCGATCGCAAAATTTAGGGCTCGGAGGGTTCGTGCGAAGAAGAGAGCTTTTAATTCTATTGCCAAGCGGGATCTCCGCATGGCACGATTCGACCACGGTAATAAGCAATTTTTTGGTCCCTATCGAAGGCTGTCGAATCCAACTTCTACCGTTCCTCCTTGCCACCAGCATGCAGAAACCTGATGGAACACTGGCTCACTCTGCGACTGAGAAAGCAAATTTATTTGCATCCCTGATGGTATTCCTGCAAGAGTACTAAAGCATTGTGCGCCTGAGTTGTCTCCTGTTCCGACGCGCCTGTACCGCCTCTCTTAAAACTTGAACGGTGCCAAAATATTGCAAGATTGCCAATCGTAATTACAAGAATCCCCTTCCTGGGTAGTCATCGTGCGGTCGTGCCGATTCCTGTAAGTATCAACCAGTCACCATCACCTCTATACTCTGTAGCTGCTGACATACCTTGAAACAAATGATTTCATCAGTGATCAATATGGCTTCCGTCAGGGACGAGGCCATTGAGAAGAATGGTGAAACTCTAGGTTTGGAATGCAAGTCTGCTGAGTAAGCTTCCTGCTTACGGCATCCGCGTCGAAATTTGCAACTAGATATCTGACTTTCTGAGTAAACGGTAATTTAGGGTAGTCATTGATGGCTGCTCTTCTGATCTAATGCATATTAACACCGAAGTTCCTCAGGGGTCTGTTCTCTTCGCGACTCTTTTCATGCTGCACATGAATGACCGACTTCTACCAGGTATTGTTGGGTATGCAGATAACAGCATAGTCACAGAGAGATTTATGTCCAGTGCAAAAGACGAAGGGGCAGTAATACGTTCACTTAGAGAGGTCATGGTGAAGCGGATAAATACGACCTTAAGTCTTGTCTTTCAGTGGGGTGACGACAATCTGGTCACTTTCAACGCCGCCAAAACGCAAGCCTGTTTGTTTTATTCATTTGTAAGCGAGCAAAAGTTTCAATTTTACTAAAACTAAGTGATAAATAACTACCCTACTGATAAAATATGGAGGAACTAAGTGTCGACGAAGTTATATTATTAAATTCTCAAAAACGTGTGCGTACTTCATCACATCAGTTCGGATAGCAGTGATTCGTCAGAAAACAGTGTTTGGAGTCAAACTAGGAGCCACAAGAAAATAAAAATGGATCAAACCGTGAGTAATGAACATTTTGAATTTTTATCCCAACAAGTGGCCTTTTTAACTACTATTATTACAAAATTTATTGAAGTTACATGCCAAAATCAAAAAATAGTTCCTTCACTTAATCTTAACTTGCACCAACCTGTAACAGAAGGCGGTGACAAAATAAACCAGGTCAGATTTAAGTACCATCGTAAAAGATCCTATTTATCCACGTGCAAATGAAATACATTTAAGGAAATTAGTAGAATTACAGCATTTTAATTGTGATGATTGGTATGCTGTACGGTTTATCGATGCCCAGAAGAAATATTTATCTACCCCCGGTTTTGTCGAACTTGCAGTAAATGATTCGCTAAAACGATTTGAATCTGCAATGTTGCGTGATGATGCTCGTTCTTATTTGCTAGAACGTTCCTTTGCCGGATTAACTAATGCCTTACTTTGCCAAAAAGAGAAATTACAAAGAGCATTACAAGCACTAGTAGATTGGGCGAGGTTTTGCAAAAAATCCCTCCTAACGTAGAAACTCTGTTCAACAACGATTCCATTCAGACCTACCTTCAGAAAATTGGAGGGGCAGATAAATTGATCACTTCATCCTGATCAATGTCTTGTACTCAAAAAGAAATTTTTTATGCAAATTGAAAGCCATCGACAAGTAAACAAGCTGATGATATATTTTTTCATCGAAGCAATCCCTTGAAAAGAGGAAAACGTGCACCACGCTCATCCAACCAAACGAATTAAGATAAATCGGGAAAAATAAATGAAGAGGAAAGAAATCGCAGTCGCATTCTTTCTTTAAAGATGACCGTCGTAAATGACTAATCAAAAATTTCATGGCCGCTGTCTGAAACAATTTCAAAGTGTTTGGAGCAATTTTAGGTGCGCCGGAATAAATATGCAGACTATTAAGCGGCTCGTACATCCCATTCATACTCCAGCCTCTAATACTTCCAAATCAAATTGTGATTCAGAACTACAAGACCAAAATTTCTTTAAATATGACTCGTCAAATTCAAAGTATGTTAAAGTAAGGAGTACTCGAACAGGCGGAGCCGAGTGCCAGTTTCCTTTCCACATTATTTTTGGTGCCAAAAACTGACTGCAGCTACCGTCCAATATTCAATTTGAAACAACTGAACAGGTTTGTTAAAACGAAACCCTTCAGATTGTTCAGCCACTTTCGAGTACCCACCTTCCTGCTTACAGTTTGGCCTTTCCTCTGCACTGAGAATGTTTGCCTCAATAACAAACTGAGTAGGAGTTTCTCAGGAATCGGGGCATCAGATGTAGTTAATTGGAGTTGTAGTTTAATTGAACAATTTTCTATTGTCAAGCCAGTCGATGCAACAACTACAAGAAGATATATCATTAACGATAAAGAACATGCAGTTACTAGGTTGCACATTAAATTTCAAAAAGTCTGTGCTGATTCCGACATAGTGCCCTGAGTTTCTTAGCATAAAATGGGACACAAAACTCAATGCGAAGTCCTTATCGGAGAAAAAGTGCTTAACAGCACAACAGCAACAGCTCTTAAAAGGCAAGTGATCCCTCAAACAGTATCAGATCTTAATGGGGAGACTCAATTTTGCCACTTACGTAACCCGGAGAGGTCGTCTTCACTGTCGAACACTGCAATACATCAGTCGACAGTTGTCAAAGGACCACCCTTACCGCCAAGTGACTATTCCACTACCAGTTCAATCCAAAATGGAGTGGTGGCTTTAAGCTATAGGTCAATCTGTACCGATACACATGAATGCAGTAGTAACTCACCTTCTAACAACTGATGCTTCAGATATCGGCTGGGGCTCAACTCGGCGATATAATTACCGGGGGGGACCTGGATGAACCGGCAACTAACCTGGCACACAAACAGAAAAGAAATGTTTGCAGTTCATGGAGCGATATCACACGAACGAAATCTGCTACAGAACTCACAAGTGCTTCTTCAGACAGACAATCAAACAGTGGTGTCTTTATAAACAACGAAGAAGGAAGTCCAAAAAGCTTCTCAAGCAAACTCGACAACTCTTTGCACTTCTGGACAAATTCAATATACAACTGATGCTTCAGATATCGGCTGGGGCGCTCAACTCGGCGATATAATTACCGGGGGGGACCTGGATGAACCGGGCAACTAACCTGGCATGCAAACAGAAAAGAAATGTTTGCAGTTCATGGAGCGATATCACACGAACGAAATCTGCTACAGAACTCACAAGTGCTTCTTCAGACAGACAATCGAACAGTGGTGTCTTTATAAACAACGAAGAAGGAAGTCCAAAAAGCTTCTCAAGCAAACTCGACAACTCTTTGCACTTCTGGACAAATTCAATATACAACTGATGCTTCAGATATCGGCTGGGGCGCTCAACTCGGCGATATAATTACCGGGGAGACCTGGATGAACCGGCAACTAACCTGGCACGCAAACAGAAAAGAAATGTTTGCAGTTCATGGAGCGATATCACACGAACGAAATCTGCTACAGAACTCACAAGTGCTTCTTCAGACAGACAATCGAACAGTGGTGTCTTTATAAACAACGAAGAAGGAAGTCCAAAAAGCTTCTCAAGCAAACTCGACAACTCTTTGCACTTCTGGACAAATTCAATATACACCTTCAGGCCCAGTACTTTCAAGGCAGATTCGATGTCGAAGTGGTCGCTTTATCACGCCAAAAGGCTTGCCCCGAGTGGCACCTCACAATAGCGGCGACATCCAAAATATTTCGAATGTGGGGCACACTGGAGATAGACCTATTTGCGTCAAGTACTGCTCACGTACTAAAGTATGTTTCAGTGAATATTCAGGGCAAGCAAGCACAACATCACAACACATTTTGTCACCAGTGGCACTACAACCTAGCGTGGTTATTCCCACCCAATCTTATTCCCAGAGTCCTAAACCATTTAAATCAATCTAGTGGAATATATATGGTATATATTTAAATTGCCTCGAAATGGAACAAGGTGTTTTGGCAAGCAGATGTTCAACGCCGAGCTCTACACCCCCCCTTATCAAATTCCAGACCTAGTCCACACTCTAGTAGACACGAGAACAGGCATACACCCACCACAGATTCAAGACTTTATCTTGAAAGCATGGCTGATTTTGGGTGGCAAGTTAGGTTAACAGAATGGATGGATAAAGAACAGAATTATTACTTTTGGCTTCTAGTCGGAGAGTTCATGACCTCACTTTGTTGCATATTGACAATAACAGTTTAATAGACGAACAAAGTAGCATAATCTTATGGCCAACTTTTGGTTCCAAAACGGACAGCATTAATCGCAGACAGTCTGGTTGGAGGCTTAAAGAACATTCCTGATAAAAATTTGAATATTATTTTCTGGATAAGACAATTATTAAAGATATCTAAAAATCGCAGAAAGGCTATAAATAATTTATTTATTACAGCTAGAGGTGACGCTAAGCCAGCATCCCGTACTGTAATTGCTGGGTGGGTACAATCGCTTTTGAGAGAGGCGGGTATCGAGGCTACTCCTGGTTCAGTAAGATCAGCAGTACTAACTTCTTTAAATTGGTAAGAAAATTTTTCCCTAGATAAAATCCTTGCGACGGGTTATTAAAAGACTGTGCACACATTTCAAAATTACTATAAAAAAGAACTAAAGGAAATTGCGGCAAATAATTCTGTATCGTTATCAAATTATTTTGATGCCATTAATTGATTGATAGAGCAAATATTATACTAGTTTGATTTATTATTGTAATTAACAAAAGCAAAACTTATTGTCATGATCGCCAGTTATAATCAAATAACGCAAATGTGGTGTAATAACAAACATTATTGTTGCTGTGTATCTCGCAATAATTCTTTTATTGTTTACCTTACACATTATAGCGTTAATAACTATCATAAGTTATTAGCACCAGGTGATAACAAACACATCACTCAAGATGGATTCCGGATATTGATACATAACAAATAATAGAGTTTTACCATAAAATAAAACTTACCTATTATTTTTTAATCAATATCCGGAATCCAGGTAAGGGCTACCTGATGCATCCTGAGTGCCATAATGACGAGACCTGGTGCTCATCACTACTTAAATAACAAAGCAAAAACAGTGGTGGGGTGCCCCCTCCATGCAGGTAAGGTAGCCGGAAGTGCTGACTTTAGGCAGAAAGACAAGTGCTTGACTCAAGATGGAAAAACTTACCTATTTATTTTTTAATCAATATCTGGAGATATTGATTAAAAAATAATAGGTAAGTTTTATTTTATGGTAAAACTCTCTATTATATTCAACAGTGTTGGCCTGCTAGAATAACAGACACAGATTTACACCCATTTTGGCTTCATAATACAGAGTTTTCATTACAAGAGGACTGTATATTATTGGGCTGCTTTGTATTAGTTCCAAAATTAATATGCTATAACACTTTACAAATTTCACATAAGACCCACACAGGGATAGTGCGCAAAAGCAGTTACAAGGAGTTGTGTGGTGGTCGAATCTTAATGAGGATATAGAGACTGGTGAGAGGCTGTCCGACATGTTTGGAGAATCACCATATACCTCAAAAATCTAATCATGAATGGATGACTAAAAAAGGGCCATCAAAATATGAGATTAGGATCTATAATGGTACATTAATTTCAGGCACATAAAAATCAGTTAATAAAAAACGGCCTATTGTTCATTGCAGATTCTGAAATGTAAAAATCACTAGAGCCACTTGGTAGAGGATGTATATCCTGAGAGTTCAGATAGTGTCAACAATGAAGAAAATCAAGAAAGTAGTCAAGACTGATATAATAATTGAGATTCCAGACTCTAATAAATAAGTAGAGATTCTAGGAATACCATTCACAGCAGAGACAACACTTTCAACAAGTAAAAAGATAAAACATAAGTCAAGTTTATATTCCAAAAACACCATATAAACAAACAAATGCTAATAGAGAAAATCTTAGACTATTAGAACTATGTCATCCCCACAGGTTGATGTAGTACTCAATAAACAGTATAGATGACGCTGTTACAGAACTATTGTATTGGTTAAAAAACAACATAGTAGTATAAAATCACTAGATAGATACAAAATTAATAGCTGAACACTCCCATTTTAGAGGTTTTCAAAATAAATATAATTTTAAGGTAAGTCCTTTAAAACAAATTTTACAAGTGAAATAACTATAAATAATTTACGTAATTTAGTAACGACATTAATTATAATAAAATTTTTACAATTTTAGTTGCATAATTCTTACAACATTTTAAAAAGAATTGTTCTGAGGGGTCTACAAAAGTGACATTTGATTATCTCGTGTATTGGTTTGGTATGTGACAGTGTTTTATTCCATATTCTAAACATATTAATTACAGTTCTGCTTCATTATTGCATAGAATTTCACTCCTCTGCATTACCACAAAACACTTTTACTCCTAACACAACATAGAGAAGATAACTGTTGCTGTTGCTTTAATCAAGTTTGTTAGCAGATCAAACGTAACAGATATTTTTAAGGCTTTTGTAGTTTTTTCTCTTTATACTAGTTTGTACAACATCCAGTTTGTAAAGCACCATCTATACAATTTTTTAGAAAACTTTTAGATTTCCCATAAATGGAAGAAAATCCAGAATAACATAGTAAAAACAAACAACATAATATTTTAAAATCAATAGATAAATACAAAATCAATAGCTGAATACTCCCATTTTAGAGGTTTTCAAAATAACTTGACAACTTTAAGGTAGAAAATCTGGTAAAACAAATTTCACAAAGGAAATAATTCTTTAACAGTGCCATCTATACGGTTTGTCAAGTAGATCGACCTGCAAAACCGATATAGTTCTCTACGAATTTATTCAATGGTGCCATTATTAATGGCACATATGTTCCATACATTAGTTGACAGTACCTAATTATATGACAGTTATAGGAACTAATAAAATATTATATGCCTGAAGGAGTTGCTCCAATAAAATGCCGGGATTTGAGAGGTTAATACAAGCTAGCTATTTCAATATTACAGAAAGGCACTTAGATTTTATTTAGATGATGAATAGCTGTAAACATCATCATTTTACAACTTTTCTTGTTCGGCATAAAATGCAGTTGTAGAGGTATTAATACCGTGATTTAATATCGATAGCATCTCATATACTTACATTGACTATTTTCATTATGTTTTTCTTCAACTTTATAATTTTTTTCCTCTTTAACCTTGCTTTCATCATGACCGGAATTCTTATTATCTGTTGTTATTTCTTCCTTTGTTTCAGAACGGATTGTATCGTCTTTCTTCTTCTTTTTTAGTTTTTCTATAGAAAATAAAGCGACATGAATAATCATAAACATTATGTAAATGTTCTGTAAATAAACACTAACACTTACTTTTTGGCAGTTTATTAGAATCAGATTCTGTATCTTCAGATGGTCTTTTCATCACATCACTTGTAATAACAGCCATATTTCCGCTATCTGTAATAATTTTAATTATTATTAGACATTGTATAGATAAACAAAATCACATAAACTATTAAGAAATAGCAAATATTGATCCTAAGCGTAAGATGACAAGAATCTTTATCGATAATGTTTTAAGAGTAAATTGAGAACTGTTACAAATCTTTATAATGATAATAGTTATCAAAAATCACTTGCTGAGGTTACCTGTATTTTCCTCATTTTCTTCGTTTTGTTTTTTTGAGGCTATTAATTTTAATTTGCTTTTTTCGCGTTTTTTTATTTTACGCAAGAGGATTTTATCAGGCGTCGGCATTTCGAAATAACATTTATTTTAAAAAAGTAGTTATTTTAACAATGTGGGATCAGCGTGGATTTGTGGCATAGATAAATAAATATCACAGAGTACCTTTGTATATGTAGGTACAAGTACCATAGATATGCATAGATAAATAAATATGTAGCAAGCTATACAAGTACTTTGAAATCATAGATGAATAGATAAAGATCATAAAGATAATAGATATTAGATATCACAGAGTACCTTTGTATGACCAGAAATTAGATATATTACTGCACAGTACACTATTACTCCTATTATTACTGCTACTGTAGTAGGAATGACGATCTGAGATCGATTATTGAAGAATCGATATTATGTGCCAATTTTTTTAATCGATATAAATATAAAGATTTTTAATCGAAATATACGTTTCTCCTACGCGGGCCCCGTCTTTGCCCACGCAAACCCTAATATTTTAAATGAACTCCAAATAGTTCAGAACCTCTTCTGTCGTCGAGCTGCGAACGCACCGTGGTACGTCCGTAATACCGACCTTCATCGGGACTTAGAGCTCCCAACAATTCAACAATTTTTTAAAAAACTCTCTGAGAACTTCTTCAAAGCCTCAGAGTCGCACCCAAACCATTTAATCCGTGAGGCAGCTTCTTATGCAGCCCCACCCCCCTCTCGCTATCGTGTCCGCAGGCCGAGAAACTCTCTCTCGGACCCGCCTAATAAACTGTCAAACGACCTGAACTGTCTCCTGGCGGCTCAGGCCAACTCTAATTAAATTAAATTATTGTAATAACTAACATTAATTTGCCTTCGTAGGCACTCCCTCAGCGGCACTTAGCCGCCTGCGCCCTCTTTTCCCAAAAGAGGGTCGCTCATGATAAGGCACAATACAGCTTAATCAGCCGGCTGCCTGTCCCCAAAGGCGGTTTTTAGAGGGTATCACTTAGGGTCCCCGGTAGGACAGTGAGCCCCTCATAACCACGATAGACCGGCTATCGTGGTATGCGTAATGCATTTTCCGCCTCCCTACATATAGGGTAGCCCTTTAATTGCTTCGGGCGCAAAAAAAAAATCGAAATATAGTACTGAATCGATCCAATGAATCGATATTTCGCCTTACGAAATTGAGATCGAACCTTTTTCTGTTTTCATAAGGACTATAAAATTATTTACAATCAATTGAATGTATCCAAACTCAAAAAGAACGACAGTTTTCCTATTAAAAAACTAGGAAAACTGCTGTGTGCTCAGATTCTTTAGCCGCTTCTTAATGAAATAAAGAAATAAAAAATAACTTACGTTTGTAATCTGTATTTTGTACGAACCTGAAAGCAAATCGCAATAAGATCGATCTTCTAGACCTGATATTTTGTGAATTGATTCATCAGATTTCAATTTGAATCGATTTAAAAATAGGTCTTTTTCGTACAGAATCGACATCCCCGGAGATATGTAGCCATGGAGTATAGATGTAAGGAGGACAATCTCCCATAGACAATAGTTGAAAATGTGTCTATCCATAAGCAGTAAATAACAGTTCAAAAACTATCCACAACAGCGCTCGAGTAGCTACAGGCACAAACTAATAAGAGTACGCTACAGGATATGACAAATCGCCGTAATATACATTGAGAGTGATTTTGAAAATAAAAATTTTGAAAGCAATATAATAATGATTTCTTATATTTACGCGAACACTACACATTGATTAAAACTACTTTTACGGATTTTATCGCGTTTTATTTATTTTATTTTCAAGACCCGACGTTTCGGATGCTTTTCAACACCCATGGTCACGGGGGAGGGAACTGAGATGACTGACGTCCCGATGTCGTAGTTAACACGGAGTACCTTCAGCTTTTTTAATTATTGTCTTTGGTCTGATCTACGCACCAACAACGTCGGGTATTAAAAATAAAATAAATAAAACGCGATAAAATCCATAAAAGTAGTTTTAATCAAAGCAATATAATAAATATTGTAAAAAGAATTATAGTGAAAGTCTGAGCAATAAAAAAATTATAAAAAGTTCGTTAAAATTTAGACTGTATCTGCAGTGGCGCTACCCTTAATTAGCGCTTTCCTACGGACACTTCTTTATACAGAGCATGGAGTATAGTACCTCTACACTCCATAATACAAAGTCCGTACTCCATACCATACACTTCATAATATCTAGCAAGCTAGAAGCTAAATCAAAAAGCATAGTAATTACTAATTAGTAATTTAATGAGCATAGAAAATAGATTATATAGGGAAAAGGCAAAAAGTATACATACAGCATAGATTTAGTAAAAGATAGCGATATTCGATATTTATTTCAGAGTATCGAGTTCGAATATATTTCGATATATTTTAAAATGTTGCATTAATCGACAAAATATTAGGCAACAAAATTAGCTACTTTTTTCGTCGTCCAACCAATTAGTAATACTACTATACACTGTTTTGTTTTTATTTTTTATATTTACTATATACTATTTTGGGCCTTTTCCTACTACATCATGCAAAATATCATATATATCGCTATTTATCACGCGATATATATCAATACGGTTTAAAAATATCGATACGATATATATTTTTTCCCTTGCCCATCCCCACTCGTAAGTTTGTTATAGTAACTGTCCTATTTCAGGGGTAATTATAAATGATATTATAAATAAAACATACAATATCTTTGGTAATTAGTAACTGTCAAACATAGGTATAAAAAACTATATGCCTATAATATATGCTTTTTTGATCTAACAATATTTTCATAAAGATTTTTGGCTTGAATGTTACTATAGTACGTGCCAAATCGATTGAGAAAAACGGACAATGACCTTTCGATCGTTTAACCACGGGCTACAAACCTTCAATATATAGGCACTTTTTATATGTAGTACTTTCTTAATTTATAATGATTTTTTTATTTTATTTTTTATAATGATTTATATAATATATATTTATTAACTAGTGTTGCGCGCCTAAGTTGACGTCAGTTACCTGGCACTAGCGCCATCTAGTGTCGGGGACCAGAGCAAGGAGGGCTTCCTAGAAAATGTCAATCTTGATTTTCGACCAACAGTGCCATCTAGTATCGAACAGATGAATTAAGCTTTCTAGAAGCCCATAGATGATTTGAAGCAGAGAATCGCTGCTTGGGGAAAGCGGATTCGGCGATATAGCGAGAGGTCGACAAGATTCAAAAAGAATCGTCTCTTCCAGAGCGATCAAAAGAGGCTCTATGAATCATTGGAGCGATCAATGGTAAGTGGAACGGGCCCAGCACCGAATCAGGCCGACACTGTAACATTCTAGCGCGGCCTGTGGTCAGAGCCCGTAAACCACACACATAAGGATAAGAAGGGGTATCTTCCAGGGCGATTGTCTGAGTCCAATCTGGTTCTGCCTCTCTCTGAACCCTCTCAGTACCTTACTGGAGGGCTCCAGGAGGGGATTTCACCTACGGAAAGGAGGTACAAAAGTGACCCACCTTTTCTATATGGATGACATCAAGTTATTCACCTCCAGTCGCTCCCATCTTATGGAATTGCTAAACATCACTTGTGAATTTAGCAATTCCATTAGAATGGAGCTGGGGACGGATAAGTTTGCGGTCCTCCATGTTGAAAGGGGAAGGGTTGCTAACTCGGAGGGCATAGACTTATCTATGCCCGTCAACTTAAGAACCCTTTCCGAGGCTGAAACATACCGATACCTGGGTATGTCACAGAACATCGGTATCGATGAGGCTGGTATGAAACAGTCAGTTTGCGACGTGTTTTATGCACGCTTGACCAAAGTGCTTAACAGCCTTTTGTCCGGTGTGAATAAGGCACACGCATATAACGGCTGGGTCATGCCTGTCCTCATGTATACCTTTGGCATACTCAGGTGGACTCAGACTGAACTTAACGCCCTGGATAGAAAAGTCCGCACTACCATGACGTCCCATAGGATGCATCATCCGAGATCGTCGGTAATGAGGCTGTACTTGCCGCGAAAGCATGGTAGGCGTGGCTTCTTGAGCGCGCTCACCATGCATAATCGCGAAGTGTGCAGCCTTCGTGATTACTTTCTGGCAAGAGCGGATGATCCATTCTATATGGACGTCATTTCTTGTGATAAAGGACTTACCCCTCTATCCTTAGCCAACGAGTAATGGCAAGACCCGGCAGTGCAGAGCATTTCCGACCGGGAGACCGTATGGAAGGAGAAGGAGCTCCACGGGAGGTTCTACAAGGCTCTACATGAGCCTTTTGTAGACACAGTAGCCTCCCTCCACTGCTACGCTTTGGTGATCTCTTCGGGGAAACCGAGGGTTTTGTCTGTGCAATACAGGATCAGGTTATTACGACCAACAACAATCGGAGATACATCCTAAGGGATGGCACCGTCGACATCTGTCGAGCTTGTCGCCATCCCGGTGAGTCACTTAGGCATGTCATCTCCGGTTGTTCGGCGCTTTCTAACTCTGAGTACTTGCACAGGCACAACCTAGTATCCAGAATTCTTCACCAGGAGCTCGCTCTTACGGTCGCTAATACGGTTTCGTGGAAATTGCCGTACTACAAGTAATTGCCGGAAGCCGTGCTCGAAAATGATCGCGCCAGGCTCTATTGGGACCGGGCCATCATCACAGACAGGACTATTCTTGCGAATAAGCCTGATATTGTGCTGATGGACCGGGCACAGTCAAGAATATTTTTGGTCGACATTACCATTCCGTATGACGAGAACCTCGTGAAAGCCGAAACAGATAAGCAAACAAAATATCTGGACCTGGCTCACGAGGTGACCGACATGTGGGGTGGTCTGCCGACCGAAATTATTCTGTCTGCAAACGGGCTAATCCCAGTCAGCCTCTCGGGTCATCTGAGGCGGCTGGGACTACGTGGCGGACCGCTCCAGGCTCAAATGCAGAAGGCGGTGTAGAATTATGTGTTTGGTCTAGACTTTTTATCTACGTTAAAAGTCTAATATTGTTACCTTGTTATCTTCTCCATTGGTTGGGCGGCGGGTCTTAGGGT